CGAACTCCTGAGCTCAAACAATCCGCCCGCCTCGGCCTCCCAGAGTGCTAGGATTACAGGCGTGAGCCACCGCGTCCGGCCCCAGTTGTCACCAATTAAAGAGAACTTAGTACAAACATCTTAGAGGTTATCCAACTTTATATAAAACCTGCTAATAAATAGCCCCTACTTTTCAATCTGGTCCACATGGTCAATGCTGGAAATATACAGAGCTTGGAGAAAAGCTATTTTTCCACATGACACTATATTTAGTCCTATGTATTAATCATTAAATCCTTTTGGTTCAGTTTTTAGGTAGCACAGCCCTCAATCAGCCCACACTTAATTTCTTCTAATGTAAGTGGTTCCTAAGACAAGAAGTGCTACGTGTGTACCTTTCTTCTCCATTATTCAGTTTGCTGAACTCAATCATGTCAAAGAAAATACAAAGTCCTTTCAGAAACTTAAGTCTCAGGGCTTGCTTTTGCGACACACCAGGTACTGCCAACTTTGCTCTGGATTCATATACTCTTTCTTTCCCTGCCTGGTATGTGGCGAGAGTTGTGCTGGGGATACAAAAACACAGACATTCTTATTGTCCAGGTACAGATTAGCTGGAAAAAATAGACATGTAAACATATAGTGATCACATAGAAGTTGCAAATGGGCACACATCTACCTGGAGATGTGTTTTCTCTATAATTTTAACCTTGACTTTAGTTACCAAGATTTTTTCATTGGGTATTTTTACATGAAAATGAAGATTTCTGACTTTTTTGGAAGAATGGGAAGGTCTAACACGACCAGACCCATGCTTAAAATAACGGAGTGGCATGGAATAGCACCTGCCTTCTCTGACAGAGAATGTGCTCTCTCATTCTTCAGTCTCTATGATGTTCCTCATTATTCCTTTGCTTTTTCTGCCTACCTTCTTTAGGGGTTTGTGTTTGTGAACCTGCAATACAATGACAAATATTATGCTCGAAGAATGTACCGGAGGCAATGTTCCAAGCCCAGAGGAGTCAGATAAGAGTAGATTCTAGAACAAAGCCCAGTCCCGAAGAATGAGAGGAAAGGAACCAGAGAAGTCCCAAGAGCACATTCCAAGGTTCAGCAGGTCCAAAGGCCTAGAGGTGAGAGCGAGCATGGGAAGCTTTGGGAACAACTACGGTAATTCTGTTCAGCTGGAGTAGTACAGGGACAGTCTGAGAGGAGTATGAGGCTGGAGACAACACAGAGGCATCAAGAGCCTTCAAGGAGAGAAGTTTAGATTTTATCCTGGGACTAGCAGTGATCCATTTAAAAGGGCTTAAGCAGGGGCATGATGTGATCAGATCTGGCTTTTAGACAGACAGCTGTGTGAAGAATGGACTGAAGAGGTCAAGATCTGAGACAGAGATCACTGGGAAGCTAATGCCGTACATGAGGAGAGATGATGGTGGCTACATCGGGATGGAAACATTGAGTATGAGAAGAGGATTCGGACAAGAAATACTGCAGAAAGCAGAATCTAAAGGACTTGGCTGCTTTTGTATGAGGGATAAGGAAGAAATCCAGTGTGGCACACAGGTTTCTGGCCCTGACTGCTGGGTGTATGCCAGACCACTTAGTAACAACAGACCCCTATTATGAAAACCACACCAGGGAAGAATCAGGAGGCCTGGGTTCTAGCCTTAGCTTCACCAGTAACTCAGCCTCTCTGGGCTTACACCTTCATTTGTAAATGAAGGTGCCACACTCCTTTCCAAGCCTTTATAAAATGGTCACTTTTTCACTTCAGTGAAGTGCAGTGAAAAAGTGCAGAACCAGATGCAGGAAAATCAAAATTCTTGTATTTCCCAGAACCAGAGAATTCAGGGTAAAAGGGATTTAAAAGGTTGAGCCCAACCCCTCTTATGATACTTAAAGTCCTTAGCAACAAATTTTTATTCTGATGGTAAGCCAAAATCTGCCCCTTAGTGTATGTCTACCTTTGGTAGAAAAAGTACATTTTGGATTTTAACACAGGATCAAGTCCAAGCTTTGTCCCTTAGAATAAAGACACTACCTCAAAGCCTCCATTTCCTCACCTGCGAAATGGGGGATAATTTGGAAGGATTTTTATAAAAGGGGTACTGTATCTGAAAAGTATCCAGCATACTCTTCTCTTAAAAGGCGAAGGCCTTCTATAGTTACAGCATGATGGGCTCAGTCAGCAGCCATGGGGCTGTTGTTTTCATCTATGCTCCAACCCTGCAATTGCCTTCAGGTGTTTGTGTCAGGGCCACGGCATGATTCAGCCTGGCTACAAGCTTCATTTTATCTTTAAGGCAGGCCCCTTTTTCAGGGCATCTTGTTGTTGACTCATGAGAGCTCACTGATGGGAGATGTGCAAAACAGGTGAGCACACTAGAAAAGTCAGCTCCCTGGAAGTAATCTTTCTTCCCCTAGTCCCTCTAGAGCAGTCATAACCTCCTGGAGCCAGACTGCCTCGGTTCAAATCCTACATCTGTCATTTACTAGTTGTGTGACCTAGGGCAAGTTACTTAATTTCTCTGAACTTCAGTTGCTTTGTTTATAAAATGAAGAGAACAGTACCTACTTCATAGGGTGGTTGTGAGCATTAATTGAGTTACTTCACGTAGAGGGCATACAATACTGCCTGGCACAAAGTACATTAAACCAAAAGTCATAAGTTCTCCACGTACCAAATATGATCCAAACTGGCTGCAAATTCAGATTCCACCAAGCATTATTTAATCCATCCTTTTTTTTTTTTTTTTTATTTGAGACAGAGTCTCACTCTGTTGCCTGGGCTAGAGTGCCGTAGCGTCAGCTCACAGTAACCTCAAACTCCTAGGCTCAAGCAGTCCAACTGCCTCAGCCTCCCAAGTAGCTGGGACTACAGGCATGCGCCACCATGTCTGGCTAATTTTTCTATATATTTTTAGTTGTCCAGCTAATTTCTTTCTATTTTTTTTAGTAGAGACAGGGGTCTCACTCTTGCTCAGGCTGGTCTTGAACTGCTGAACTCAAATGATCCGCCCGTCTCAGCCTCCCAGAGTGCTAGGATTACAGGCGTGAGCCACCCCACCCGGCCTAATCCATCCTTTCAACAACACTTCAGGTCTGATTATCTATATTGTGCAGATGAGGAAACAGAGGCATAGAAAGCTTAAGATTTGAAGGCTCTTTTCCATATACTTCCCCTGAAGTGTGGTGTAGCTTAGACCTCTGGGATCTTCTTGGATTTGAATGAATACATGCTCTATTATTTACTATACAGTTTTCCCACCAGTGACCTAATCTCGAAGCCTCATTTGGGCGGTGTGAGGATTAGATGATAGGTAAACACACAGCACAGGCCCTGCCCAACAGGCTGACCTCTCTGGGGCACTGACTGTGATTACATCGCACTTGCAACGTGAACCCCCACACAGCACCACCTCATCAGAGACACAGCAGGAAATGACTTATTTACTACACTGGATCCCTCTTTCTTTTCTAAAATATGGCTCTTCTCTATTATTTCTTTAAAAGCCATAGAGTTTCTAAGAATAAAGGCAGGCAAGATCAAGAATTTCCCTCAAGGATGAAAATTATTCATTCTCCAGCTATTCAGTCAGTCCTGGGCCCAGCTATTGCCTGAGTTAGGGAACAGGCCTCTCGGCAAGAAAACAGATGTCTAAGGTCCTCGAGGAACTGTCCATGGGGAAAATACACAGCTGAAAAAGCTGCTTTGGAGTTGGCCCTGGCAAACAGAGTATCACTTTAAGAAACAAGGTTATGGCTCAAATAACCAGTTCTTCAGAGGTGGCTGGGAAATTGGATCTTTGTGTTTCACACCTGAGGAACAGCATGTAAGCACATGGTATAAATGCTGAAGCTAGGGCCACACGAATTTCTTTATGGACCAGGAATTACAACAGCTTGGTGTTTTCTCAACTTTATTTGGGGGTGATGCTGGAAAGACTTAAAGAGTTTTGAATTTTTCTTTTCTTCTTTTTTTTTTTTTAAAGAGACAGGTCTCACTCTGTTGCCCAGGCTGGAGTGCAGTGGTACAATCATGGCTCAACACAGCCTCTAACTCCTAGGCTCAAGCAATCCTCCCACCTCAGCCTCCCAAGTAACTGGGACTACAGGCACATGCCACCACGCCTGGCTAATTTTTAAAACTTTTTTTAGAGATTGGTTTTGTTATGTTGCCCAAGCTGGTCTTGAACTCCCAGTCTCAAGCAATCCACCTGCTTCAGCCTCCTGGGTAGCTGGGATTACAGGTGCCAGCCTCTGCTCCTGGCAGTTTTGATTTTTTTTAAAATTTTTTTTGAGACAGTCTTACTCTGTTGCCCGGACTAGATTGCCGTGGCATCAGCCTAGCTCATAGCAACCTCAAACTCCTGGGCTCAAGCGATCCTCCTGCCTCAGCCTCCTGTAGCTGGGACTACAAGCATGCGCCACCATGCCCGGCTAATTTTTCTATATATGTTTTTAGTTGTCCAGCTAATTTCTTTCTATTTTTAGTAGAGATGGATGGGGTCTCGTTCTTGCTCAGGCTGGTCTCGCACTACTGAACTCAAACGATCCACCCGCCTTGGCCTCCCGGAGTGCTAGGATTACAGGCGTGAG